GAACCATATGCACATCGATGAGTAAGAAGAGTGAGGTCTCTAATTTAAATATGAATCTTGGAGGAGAAGAGGGGAAATCTAAAGATGTTAGTGTGGGAAGGAGTGGGGAGAGGGATGTAGGGAGTATAGTGGATAAAGCTGGAGAGAGTGTAGATGATTTTAATAGTAGTGAGGGAGTGGTGGATATGGACACTAGAGAAAATTCTGACTTTAGTGGTTATCATGTGTCACCAAAGGAAGGTGTAAAGGAAAATATAGAGGATAAGGGAAAGAATGAAGAAAGGGAGGGGGCTGCTAAGTTTGGGGAGGCAGGGAGAGGGCTTAGGAAGGTTAATATTCTAAAAAGTGAGAGTAAGGGGGAGGGAGTTAAAAACCAGGTAAGTGGTGTTAAAAGGGGAGGGCGTGAAGAGTTAGAAGAGCAGCATGTGATGGTAGTTGATGGAGAAGATATTGATACTGTGAGCAAGAAGCGTAAGACTATAAGCACAAAACAAAATGTGGTGGGCCCCACACCATGGGCTCTCGGTGATCAATGAATTACGTCCTCTCATGGAATGTTAGAGGTTTAGGGTGTACCTCGGCAATAAATGTTGTAAAGAATGTGGTTGTTCTTGAAAAACCCCAAATGATCTTTTTGTCGGAAACAAAATTAAAAGCTCATGAGATGGAAAGAGTTAAAAACAAGCTCAATTTTAGTAATATTCTTGTTGTCAGTTGTGATGGAGAAGGAAGGAAACGAAGTGGTGGTATTGCGTTGCTATGGAAGGATTCTTTGGATGTTGAAATTAAGTCGTAATCTATTCACCATATAGACTCATGGATAAAAATTCCTCATAAAAAGGGATAGAGATTTACAGGAATATATGGTAATCCGGAAGCAGAAAATAAGCACTTGACTCGTACCTTGCTAGAAAGTCTCAAGTGTAACCCGAATATCCCTTGGATTTGTGGGGGTGATTTTAATTTGATGTTGATGTTGAGTGAGAAGCAAGGTGGGAATGATTTCCGTATGGAAGAGGCGGATATTTTTAGAGAAGCAGTGGAGTTTTGTGAATTGATGGACTTGGGATTCGTGGGTCATGGGTTCACATGAACAAATAACCAAGGTGGTCAATGTAATGTGCAAGAGCGGCTCGATCGCTACTTGGAAAACAAATCATGGAAAGATATCTTCCCTGGTTCTTTCGTGATGCATTTATCGAAGAGGAAGTTGGACCACCTACCAATTCTGCTATGTATTAGCGAGGGTGTTGGAAAAATAAAAAAGAAAAAAAATAAAAAAATATAGGTTTGAAGAAATGTTGCTCCGAGATGAATCCTGTAGTGACATTGTGAAGGAAGCGTAGGATTGGGGTGGTGACATTTGTTCGAAAATTGCTCATACTTCGATAAGTTTGAGTGCTTGGAGTAGGAACAAATTTGGTGATTTTATGAAAGAAATGAAGGAGTGTAGAGCTACAATGGAGAGTCTTATGGGGGAAACGCAAACATATGAGATTATAGCCCAAATTCGAGCTCTGGATGATAGAATGGATGAGTTGGAGGGAAGGGAGGAGGCTTATTGGAGGCAAAGGAGTAGACAAGATTAACTTAAAAATGGTGATAAAAATACTACATTTTTTCACACAAAAGCTAGCCAAAGGAAGTCGAGAAATCATATCAGAAAAGTGAAAGATACAGCTGGGAACATTTTTCAAGATGAAGAGCAAATTTCTGAGGTTTTTGTGCGCCACTTTGATGATTTATTTTCATCAGGTGGACAATGTGATACGGCCCCTGTGATTGATAAAGTGGACTCTGCAATTTCTGAAGCTCAGTTTGAGGATCTTGCGGCCCCTTTTGTTGGAGAGGAAGTTCGTGAAGCTCTTTTCCAGATGCATCCTACTAAGGCTCCTGGCCCCGATGGTATGTCTGCTTTATTTTTCAAAAATTCTGGAATGTTTTCGGAAGTGATGTAGTTGATAATACTCTGAATATTTTGAATAATGGTAGTGATATAGGCTCTATTAATCAGACACACATTGTTTTAATTCCGAATAAAAGAGTGTGAGTCTCCTGTTGATTATAGACCTATTAGTCTGTGCAATGTACTATATAAATTGTGTCAAAAGTGTTGGCAAACGGACTTAAAAAAATTCTGCCATGTATTATTAGCGAGTATCAGAGTGGGTTTGTGCTTGGTAGACTAATCACGGACAACATCTTGGTGGCTTATGAGTGTTTTCATTTTTTGCGGAAAAAGAAAAGTGGGAAGAAGGGTTACTTGGGGTTGAGATTGGATATGAATAAAGCATATGATAGAGTTGAGTGGGTTTTACTGGAAAAAATGATGATGGAATTTGGTTTCCCGGACTCTTATGTGAATAATATTATGAAATGTGTCTCTTCGGCTTCTTTTGATGTTCTTGTGAATGGGCAGCCGTATTGTGCTTTTAAGACAAGTAGAGGTTTGAGGCAAGGAGATCCTTTATCTCCTTTTCTGTTCATTTTGTGTGCTGAAGGTTTATCTGCTCTTCTCCAGGATGCATAAAAGAAATAGCTTATTCATGGTGTTAAGATTGGGAGGCATGTTGATCCAATATCTCACCTGTTTTTTTGCTGATGATAGTTTATTATTCTTACGGGATAATGAAGAGGAAACTGAAAAAGTGCTTGATATTCTGTATTGGTGGACGACTCGTTCGAATCTCGTGGACTAAGTAGAGGAGCAACACTTGGGGCTCTATTCTCTCCCTGATTTGCCTGTCGAATAGCTTCGTGGAATTCACGCGTCAAAGGTATGATTATGTGTCTTGTGTGTTATGCATGTGATTCTTGGGATTTGTACTTGATTGAATATGATTCATGTTTTTCCGCTGCGTAGTACCTATAAACTCCTACAACTACTGCTCATATGCTTCTCACCTGCCCTACAGCCTTATCTATATGGAGACACTCGGCCCTTAGACTGGACACAAGTGCAGGGCACTCTGATGGCTTTCGATCTTGGTGCAACACGATGTATGGAAAAATGAAAGAAGCTAAATGGTGGGATTTTTTTGGTGTTTGGCGTGGGGAATTTGGTTGAAAAGGAATGCTTGGGTGTTTGAGAGAAAAGAGAAAAGAGAGGTTGATATTATACATAAGTCAATGGCTTTGGTGGGAGAATTTGAAGAAGCTAACACCAAGGCTGCCGTGATGCAGCAACAGACGCACTTGAGCTCCTGCTGGAAGGCCCCTGCTGCTGGTCTGTACAAGCTGAATACAGATGCAGCATTTCAGGATTGCAAGTTGGGAATGGGAGGGGTTTTGAGGGATGAGTATGGGGATGTTGTGGTTGTCTTTTGCTCGTCTGATTTTGGGAAGGTGGAGGTAGGTATCGAGGAAGCTATGGCAATGAGAGCAAGTCTCAAGATAGTGTTGGATGCAGGATTTAGAAGATTGATCCTTGAGACTGACAATTTAAAGCTCTTCCACCACATGAAGAAGGGCTATACTCCTCCCTGCTGTTTTGGTATTTTGGTGAAGGATATTGCTGCTTGCTGAGAAGTGTATTAGGTGTGATTTTTCTTTTGTTAAAAGGTCGGGTAATGAGGCTGCTCATAGCTTAGCAAAATTAAGTTTTAGTGTCAATGAGTATCGTGTTTGGCTTGAAGAGTACCCTCCTGAAATTCAGGGGGTCTTATGTAACGATATTGAACTTTTGGTGAATTAATAATATGTGCTAAGCTGGGGCTTTTGTTAAAAAAAAGGACACACCAGGATATAACACGTGTCATTGCTGGTGTGTTTTTTTTAGTATATATTATTATTGATTTTCCCTCCAAAATGCTTTTTTTTTTAAAAAAAAAAAAATTCTATTAAAAAAATTAAATTTTTTTAATAAATTTTATTTATATATATTTGTAACACATAAGAATTTAAAGGATAAACATTACTCCCTCCGATTCATAATGTTAGTCCCATATGGAATCAATCACATAAAATAAGAAAACAAATATATTTGGAATCTAATATTAAAGTACAACATATTTCATAATTAGTTTACCTTAATTAACTTTTTTTATTTTTTATTAGGAAAGCACAAGTCATAATTGCATAATTTAAGGTAAAAATTTCCTTAATTAGAGTCATGTCATCAATCCACAATAAATTAATTCCAAAAAAAATCAAGTCATAAATGAAATATATTCAATATGAGTAGAACTTTTTGAAACGCCCAAAATAGTATATGGGACTAACGTTATGAAACGGAGGGAGTAATAAATTTAAATTTTTATAAAAAAATGTTACATAAGTTATTTAAGTTAATTAACTCTATATCGATTAACTATTATTATTAATAAATAATGCTCCAAAATTATTATAGATGAAAATATTAGTCGTTAATTACTCATAAGGAAAGTGTAAGATGAGAAAAAGGAAGAAAATAATTACTTATTACTTCCCTAATCTCAACTCACTTGTAATGCCAAAAAATTCACCCACCTTTCCCTCAAATTCCTTTCTCTGTAAACGCACAAATTAAAGACCTCTTTCCTTATTTTGCTACTCATAAGCTTACCTCAAGAAATCAATAACTTTTTTTTTTGAATAGAAATCAATAACTTTTTTATGGATAATTATACAATTGATTACCGTTTAATTATCACCCAATTTTGGGAATTATTTAATTTGCCTCCCTTGAATTATGGTAGTCAATTACAAGGGAGATTGAGAGTGGTAGTAGCGGCATCGGATGGACGACGATGAGTTTCATAAGTAAATATTATTCTTCTTAATTTCGTAGTGTTATTTTCAATTTGATGATCTTGTAGTTATGGTTGATTTGAGTCCTCTGTCGTATGATTTTTGATTGATTATCTAAATTCAAATTTGGTTTAATATTAAAATTACATTGTTTAATCAATTTTATGATTATATTTCAAGCTTAATTTGTTATCTTATTATGTTTGGAGTATAATTGAATGCTAATTATGTGGTTTGGGTTAGTTTAAATTCCATAATAATAGTAGTTTTAATCTGAATTTTGGTTGGAATGCAATTCGGATTAATCACCTATGTATTAGTTCAATTAGGATTAATGATGTCTTATATCAATTGATTCTTGATTTAGCTATTGTATGTTATAATTATATTTAATTATTTACCGTAGAAAATTAGAATGATATGTGTTGGAGTACACGATCCAAGTCAGCAGCCAGCTCATCAGTTTGTTACAGCACAGTCAGCAGAAGAACAGCTCAGCAAATAAGTTTGTTAGAGTTTGTTAGATTTCTGTAACAAACTTTTGTATAAATACGATTCTTGTACTGTAATAATTCATTCAATAATAAAAACTTCTTTTCTTCTTCTCCAAGTTTATTTCTCTCTCTATTTTCTGGAGAAATTCTCCAAGCTAAAGTTCAGTTGATGAACTTCAACATGGTATCAGAGCAATTTTGATCCAAATTCCGCATTATCTTCTTCAAATTTCTTTGTTCTTCTTCTTTCTAAATTTGTCTTCAGATTTTTCTCTTGATATTTTTCTGATTTTGATCGATTTTGATCAACAATGGCACCACGAAATTCTGGAAATTCAGAAACAAATGGAGAAAGCGATTCTACACAGAATCCTAATTCAGCTTACTATTTGAGCAATTCAGATTTATCAACAACAAAATTAGTCAATATTGTGTTTGATGGAAGTTGCTTCAATGATTGGAAACGATCAATGATCATTGCATTATTTGCCAGAAACAAGCTGAGTTTTGTTGATGGAGGTTTGAATCAACCTTCTAATAACTCACCAAACTTCAAAATCTGGATCAGAGTTAACAATTTGGTGATTTCCTGGATTTTGAATTCACTTGATCCTTCAATTGCTCGAAGTATTCTTTATCTGAAGACAGCAAGGCTAATTTGGCTGGATTCGGAAGAGAGGTTTAGTCAGTCTTCTGGACCTCAGTTGTTCTCAGTTCAACAGCAGATAGCTGACATTTCTCAGACTGAAACTGAAGGTATTCCTGAATTTTACACTAGAATTAAGCAATTATGGGATCAATTAGATGGTTTAGAACCTTTGCCTGCATGTGTATGTACTGGTTGTAATTGCAATTTGACACAGCAATTACTTAAGTCTCAGCAGAATCAAAGACTTGTTCATTTTCTGATGAAAGTTCATGACAAGTATTCTCACATTAAGAGTACTATTCTTATGATGAATCCCTTGCCAACTGTATCTAAGGCATACAGTTTGTTGCTTCAAGAACAAACTCACATGAATTTGAGTAATATTAAGAATCAAAAACTTTCAGAATCTGCAGCATTCTATGCTAAGAGGTTCAATGACAGCAGAAATCAGTTCAATAGCAACAGATTTCCTATTACTGGTGGAAGTGCAGGACAATCTTCAGATCTGAATTCTAGTGGATCAAACACCAGAAATTTTGTCTATACAAGAAATAATCTGTATTGTGATTATTGTAAGATGAGGAATCACACCAAGGATAAGTGTTTCAAGCTACATGGATATCCTTCAGATTTCAAGAACAAAGGCAAAAAGATAGCAGCAGCAGCTCAGCTAGATGATTCTACTGTCTCTGAATCTGCAAATTTGGTGAATCTGTCTGTTACTCAAGATCAGCACAAACAGATTTTACACTATCTTGATAAGCAACAGTCAGCTGAGCAAGGTGAACTCTCTGGAGGTTCAAGTTCCCTTGGCTTAGCTGCAACTTCTCATTTGGCAGGTAATTTATGTCTTGCCTCTACTTTTGTTTCTAAATGGATACTAGACAGTGGAGCTTCTGATCATATGTGTGCTGATATTTCTATGTTCACATCATTTTCCAAAATTAATGATGATAGATATATCACTATACCAGATGGAAAGAAATTGAAAGTTGAACACACAGGAACAGTTTTACTCAAATCAGGCATTACTCTTAGTAATGTCCTGCATGTTCCTGGTTTTCACTTTAATCTGATTTCTATATCAAAATTATGCAAAGATGTTTCAGGATCAGTATCATTTACTAATGATACATGTTTGCTTCAGGACCCTTCTTTGACCAGTCCAATAGTGCTTGGTAGATTGGAAAGAGGCCTTTACAGTCTTAATGAAGATTCCTTAAGTTCAAATAATGCTGCAGATTTTAGACACTATAGTCTAGCAGCAGTTGAAGAAGCCAAACTTTGACACCTTCGTTTAGGACATATGTCTTTCGATAAAATAAAATCCATCAAAGGCACTGATGTACATGGTTGTTTAGCTGAAAACTTGTGTCAAATTTGTCCTTTAGCTAAACAGTCTAGATTTTCTTTTCCTACAAGTTCAATAAGAACATGTAAGCCTTTTGAGCTTATTCATATAGATGTATGGGGTCCTTATACTCAAACTACTCATACTGGTTGTAATCAATTTCTCACCATTGTAGATGATTATTCAAGGATGACTTGGGTTCATTTTATGAAAAGTAAAAGTGATTCAGTCTCTATTATGACTCAGTTCCTTAGTTTTGTTGACACTCAGTTTTCTACTAAGGTTTTAGCTGTGAGATCAGATAATGCTCTTGATCTTACAGAAGGAGGCATGAAACAGCTGTTTTTACAGCATGGCATTGTACAGCAAAAATCTTGCAGTGACACACCCAAGCAAAATGGGGTGGTTGAAAGAAAACATAAGCATCTTCTGGAAACTGGAAGGGCTTTGTTTTTTCAATCAAAAGTGCCAGCTCGTTTTTGGGGAGATTGTATCTTGGCTGCAGCTTATTTGATAAATAGAATGCCACTGAAGTCTATTGGTTTAGTCACACCCTATGAAAGACTTTATGGTTCTGTTCCTGTTCTTTCTCATTTAAAAGTCTTTGGATGTCTTTTTTATGTTTCTACAACAAAGATTCACAGAACCAAACTAGATCCTAGAGCCATTCCTTGTGTTTTTCTAGGATATCCCCCAAATCAAAAAGCTTACAAAGTGTTAAATCTTGCCACAAACAAAATCATCATTTCCAGGGATGTTGTTTTCTATGAAAAACATTTCCCTTTTCATTTTTCCTTTACACCTTACAAAACATATACAAACAAATTTTTTCTTCCTGTCACTCATATTTCACATACAAATATTGATATTCCTGAAATCTTTTCTGATTCAGGCAATAATTCTATATCTCCTTCTTCCTCAAACACACCAACTTCACCTCTTCCTGCTAATACCCAAATTTCTACCCCAATTCTTCCTACTTCTTCTGATTCTAAAACACAGGACATTCTTCCTAGACAGTCTTCTAGAGTCAGCAGACCACCTTCTCATCTATCAAATTATGAGTGCAATGCTGTTACTAATCATTGGTGTAACCTAGTTAGCTTTGATTCTCTTCCTGCAAAGCAGAAACTGGACATTTGTGCTTATGAGTCACTCATTGAACCCACAAGCTATAAAGAAGCTGCAGGGGATCCCTCTTGGGTGGATGCAATGGACAAAGAAATTTCTGCCCTTACCAAAAACAATACATGGGATATTGTAATGCTTCCTAAAGGAAAGAAAGCAATTGGCTGCAAATGGATTTTCAGAATTAAGAAAAATGCAGATGGCAGTATAGAAAGATACAAGGCAAGGCTTGTTGCCAAGGGTTTCACACAAAAATATGGAGTTGACTATGAAGAAACATTCTCTCCTGTTGTGAAAATGTCAACTATCAGATGCTTAATTTCTCTTGCTGCACAAAATAGTTGGGATTTATTTCAACTTGACATTAACAATGCTTTTTTGCATGGCACTCTTCATGAGGAGGTATATATGAAAATTCCAAAAGGCATCTCAGCTCCTACAGGGTATGTTTGCAGACTTAAAAAGTCTTTATATGGCTTAAAGCAGGCTTCAAGGCAATGGTTTGCCAGATTGGTTGAAGAGTTTAAGTTTCAAGGGTTTTCTCAGTCTAAGAATGACTATTCTTTGTTCTTGAAGAAAGATGGAGTTGATACAACAATTATTGCTGTATATGTTGATGATATTATCATCACAGGTTCAAATAATCAGTTAATTTCTGATATCAAAGCTCATCTGCACACCATTTTCAGCATCAAAGACCTTGAACAGTTGAACTACTTTCTAGGCATTGAAGTTAGTAAGTGTGCTGAAGGTTATGTCTTATCTCAGAGGAAGTTTACTAAAGAGCTATTACAAGACTGTGAGTTAGATATTTCTAAGCCTGCAAATTCTCCTTTTCCCTCTCATATGAAGCTTTCTTCAGATATGGGTGACCTTTATGATAATGCTGCCCTTTACAGATGTTATGTTGGGAAGCTAAACTTTCTCACAAACACAAGACCTGATCTTGCCTTTGCTGTTCAAACCTTAAGCCAATTTATGCATTGTCCAAGAGTTCCACATGTTCAAGTCCTGCAACATACTCTGAGATATGTTGCAAGCACAGTGGGTCAAGGTATTTTACTCAGGGCTTCTGATCAGCTTACTTTACAGGCTTTCTGTGATTCTGATTGGGCTGCCTGCCCTTCAACAAGAAAATCTGTTACTGGTTATGTCTTACTTCTTGGACAGTCTCCTATCTCTTGGAAATCTAAGAAGCAAAGCACTACCTCAAAGAGTTCAGCTGAGGCTGAATACAGAGCCATGTCTCATGCTGCTGGTGAAATTGATTGGTTGGTAAGGATTCTTGCTGAACTTGGCTTTCAGAATTTGAAACCTGTGAAGCTTTATTGTGACAGCCAATCTGCTATTCACATAGCCAAAAACCCTATTTTTCATGAGAGAACAAAACACATTGAGGTCGATTGTCATTTCACCAGGGATAAGGTTTTTGCAGGACTGATTGAACTTACTTATGTTCCTACTGGTTTACAACTTGCTGATGTTTTTACCAAACAACTCTCTATTCCTCAGCAGCAGTTGGTTTTATCCAAACTTGGCATGGTTAACTCTCCCCTGCCAAGTTTGAGGGGGGGTATTGGAGTACATGATCCAAGTCAGCAGCCAGCTCATCAGTTTGTTACAGCACAGTCAGCAGAAGAACAGCTCAGCAAATAAGTTTGTTAGAGTTTGTTAGATTTCTGTAACAAACTTTTGTATAAATACGATTCTTGTACTGTAATAATTCATTCAATAATTAAAAACTTCTTTTCTTCTTCTCCAAGTTTATTTCTCTCTCTAATTTTCTGGAGAAATTCTCCATGCTAAAGTTCAGTTGATGAACTTCAACAATATGCTAATGAGTAATGAGTTATAGTGAATATCCGTTCAAAAAAAAAAAAAAGTTGTAATTATATTTAATTATTTACAATAGAAAATTAGTATGTATGCTAATGAGTTATAGTGATTAGTGAATATTGCTTGTTTATTGGCGAAATTTTTGCAATCAATTTTTTTTTTTTCTTTTGAAAACACAATCAATTTTTATTAACTCAACATAATAACTTAATGTGCATCAAATTGAGTACTTTTGTTGGTTAAGCTCTGTTTGATTCACCTTAATTTTGCTGAACTGAAATTATTTTTACTGAACTGAACTTATTTTTACTGAACTGAACTTAATTTTACTGAACTGAAATTATTTTTACTGAACTTAAATTATTTTTACTGAACTGAAATTAATTTTACTGATTTTCTATTATAATTCTTCTTTAAGAAAACTGAATTTTATTGAACTGAACTTATTTTTACTGAACTGAAATTATTTTTACTGAACTAAAATTAATTTTACTGAGCTGAACTTATTTTTACTGAATAGAAATTATTTTTACTTAATATTATTTTTTTAAGGTGAATCAAACAGGGCCTTAGTTAATTTAGTTTGAGTACTGTATAAATACAGCTAAAATCATGCTAGCTAATTACACAACTTAGTTCTAGGAGAAGATCATGGGATTGCATGATTATGGGAATTACAAAGATTGTTGTCATGTTTAAGATTGCAGAATTATTCTCTTTTTCAAATTATTACATAGCGTTTTATAAAATCTCTGCTCATATTTGCCATTACAACAAATAAATCCATTTTGTTAATGCTGCAGAATCACCTATTGAAGCAGTCTGTTTCGAAGTCCTCCTCAACATGGTAAACTTCGTAAAAAATATTTTCAATATTCATACCAAACGTCTCCTAAATGTTTAATGAAATTGATTGTTGTTGTATCAACTTTGCTTGTATCAACGTTGATTGTTTCCTTGATGTGTTTGTGGGCAGGAATCTTACTTATCAGAAATTTCCTTTTCCGAAGTTATGGAGAAACTATACAAGGAAAAGCTGAAGCCATTGGAGACTGAGTATCACTTTTGTGACTTTGCGCTACCTCCTATGTTGGTAAAGTCTAATACCTTGTAGTTAATTATAAGCACATATGCTTTGTTTAGTTGGTGTTATCATCATAATTCTTTTGATTTATTTTCTTTTGCTAGGATGGACTTGCATTTGCCTTTGACCCGCTTATTATGGTGTTGGGAGAGTCTTTAACTGGGAAAACTTCATTAATAAAACAACTGTTCGACGGTGATTATCCAGGTCTTCAACAAAGTATTTGCTTTCATGATTGTGCATTAAAATACTTCGATTTTGACTTCACTAAATGTTATTTTTGTGCTATACATCCAACAGGTTCCGAATCTGGCAATACAGACAGGTTTTATTTTATCAAGGACTATTGTCACTAGCATTTTTTTTAGTTGAGTCCAGGATCTAGATGCTATCATTATTTGGCCCTTTCTCTTCTACTAATTTACTTGGAATTTTCGGCTGTGTAAGGAATTGTTGTGTCACAATTGGTTTTTACTTGTATAAAAAGATGTGAAACAATGTGTGTTTTTTGTTACTGTTTTTGTTGTTAGTAAACTGGGTCATTTCATTTCACAGCAAGGACTTTATAATAAGACCGTGATGGGATCTGGGTTGATTAGACATCCAGATTATAAATTGGATTCCCTTCAAATGTGTGGGTCGGATGTCTTATCATGTATGGAGGGTGTAATGCTGAAAAACAATGTAACTGTATATATATAATACAGTGCCATTAAATATTTATTCACTGTCAATTTTCATCTTGCTAATGTTTAGAGTTTGCATTGCTTGACATCAGGTGCTGGGGTATGCTTCTTTTGTGGACACACCTGCGATTCGTAATAGACATGTGAAAACCATTCAATATAGAAAGATTATATTATGGTGTGCGCAAAAGTGTGACATGATTC